CACAGGGCAGCCCAGCTCGTGCATCCCTCGGTGCTCTCCTAACCCAGGAGTTATGTGGAGCTGCTGTCCCATTCCTGGGGAAGTGTTAACCATCCTGAAGGGAAGCTGCTCCAGCCCGTGGCTCCTTGGCTCCGCTTGGCAGGCAGAATTCCTGAATTTAGTGTGGCAGGGAAGCGGAGCAGTGGATGGGGATTGCCACAGAAATTCCCAGGCTTGTTCCACCCCCGTGGTTTGGTGTTTGAGCAGGTGCACTGAGCAAAGCCCAAGCAAATGTCAAAATGTCTTCTAAGCTGAAATATTTTATTACTCTGGAGCAGCTTAGTGCATCCCCACAGCTGACACCCAGCTCAAGGCCTCGTGCAGGTTTTTATTCACCATTCAGGAGCATTTCTTTGGGCTGCAAAGGGGCAGGAAYCCTTTGTTTTTAGAAAATCAGCAAAAGCACCCTGTCACTCCTGGTACCACCACTCTGGGGGTGCTCAGAGCAGAGCCTGAGGGATTTCTCTTGCTTCTCTCACTTCCAGGGTCACGCTGCAGATGTTTTTGAGGCCTACACGCAGCTCCTGACAGAGATGGTGCTGCGCCTGCCCTACCAGATCAAGAAGATTGCAGACACAAACTCACGCATCCCCCCACCCATCTTTGATCACTCCTGGTTCTACTTTCTGTCTGAGGTGAGCAAGAACACGGTACACCTGCAGATTTCCACAACAAAGCTCCAGTAGTGGTTTCTTTCATGGGAGAGATGAGCTTTAACAGAGCTGATCTCAACTCCATCTTGTTTTTTTAATCCCCTTGAAAGAAGGTGAACTCTTGGCTTTGCGTTGTTCCTGTTGAACAGGAATCTGTAGGAAAACGTACATGAAAAATAAGTTTGCTGTTATTTCCTGGAATTCAGTGTTTGCTGCCTCAAAGCTGAAAGGGAAAACCTGCTGTGAGATGGAAAAATGTAAAATAGTGCTCAGCTGTTGGTGCATGTGCCTTAAAAAAGAAATCAGGAAGATACTTGGGGTTTGTCTTCTCAGTTTGCTTCCTGTTTACATAACAAGTTATCTTATATTTCCACAAGGATGAAGTAGGATTTCTTAATTAGCCTTGATTTGCTGTTTGTTTGAGGCTGTGGCTGACAAGGGATGGTTTTCAGTGRTGTTGTTGTGCAGTTTCTTCTGCCTGAGACTTGCAGTAGTGAAGGCATCTCCATTTCTTTCCCTTTTGGAGGAAAGCACCCATTTTTGTGTTGTGGCTTCTCTCGGCAGTACCTGATGATCCAGCAGACGCCATTCGTGCGCCGCCAGGTGCGCAAGCTGCTGCTCTTCATCTGCGGCTCCAAGGACAAGTACCGGCAGCTGCGGGACCTGCACACGCTCGACTCRCACGTCAGGGGCATCAAAAAGCTGCTGGAGGAGCAGGGCATCTTCCTGCGGGCCAGCGTGGTGACAGCCAGCTCGGGCTCTGCCCTGCAGTAYGACACGCTGATCTCCCTGGTGAGGGGAACTGCGGGAGGGGGCATCGGGGTGGCATTGGTGTGTCAGGGTGCTGATGGGCCCGCTGTCCCCTCCCCTGTCCCTGCAGATGGAGCATTTAAAGGCTTGTGCAGAGATTGCCACGCAGAGAACGGTGAACTGGCAGAAGTTCTGCATCAAGGATGACTGTGAGTGCTGTCCAGCGGGGTTTGGGGRGCAGCGGTGCCGTGCTTGGGGTCAGGGCGGCTCTGATGGGGAAGCTCAGCAGAGCAGGGTGGACACAGCTGAGTTCTGACAGGGCTGAACTGTTCCCAATGCTCATTATCCCAGTGTCCTAATTGCAGCTGGTCCTTGGCTGCAGAGCAAAGGTGACTGAGAGGAACAGCACATCTGTGTTTTCTTCTTGTGCTGCTGTTGTCCTGGAGCAGAATTTGGGATGAGCCAYTTCCCCTGGTGTACCCCATGTTTGGCTGTGGTGTAGGAACAGGAAGGTTCTGGGAGTTTGGTCCTTGTGTACAAAGATTTTTTTGGTTTAGGTTGAGGGGGTTTTTTTCTTTTTTAATTCAGGCTTTAATGAGCTGTGGCAGGGCAGGTTTAGGATGGATTTCAGGAAAAGGTTCATCCCCCAGAGGGTGCTGGGCACTGCCCAGGCTCCCCAGGGAATGGGCACGGCCCCGAGGCTGCCAGAGCTCCATGGTGGGATTGTTGGGGGGGTCTGTGCAGGGCCATGAGCTGGATTTGATCCCTGTGGACCCTTTCCAGCTCAGAATATTCCATGATTTTGTGTTTATTCAAACATTTTCTCCTTTCCTTACAGCGGTTCTGTATTTCCTGCTCCAAGTCAGCTTCCTGGTAGATGAAGGGGTGTCGCCAGTGCTGCTGCAGCTGCTGTCCTGTGCTCTGTGTGGCAGCAAAGTGCTGTCTGTGGCTTCATCCTCTGCATCTTCCAGYGCCTCTTCCACTGCTCCTGCAGCATCGGGCTCGGGGCAGGCGGCACAGAGCAAATCCTCCACCAAAAAGAGCAAGAAAGAGGAGAAGGAGAAGGAGCGAGAGGGTGAGGGGCAGCTGGGCCCTGTCCTTTGGTGCCTTTAGGGAGCAAGTCTGCTCCTCACAGCCTTTCTTACTCTGTTTACAAAGAGCTGGGTGAGAAATCTCACTGCTGGGAAAGGCTCGTGATACCCACAGGCCACAGCCACAGAGAGCAGAGCAGCTCCCATGTGTAGGTGGGGCTCAGGGGAAGCAGTGTGGCCTAAGTTGGGCTGAAATCACCTGCTGAGGACGTCYCAAACCCGCTTGAGTGGGCATTGAGTGGGTTTGAAATTCTTTAATGGTGTTACCTCATCCAGTGATGAAGCAGCTCCCACTGAACTCGCCCGTCCTGGGTTGGGGGAGGCTGAAAAGCTCACGAGGATTAAAACAAATCCTGGGGATGCACACCCATTTAGCTCTGCTCCTCAGGGATTGTGTTCAGACTTGTTTCCTCTGGCTGCCTTGGGAGCTCTGCTGGAGCCAGGGCTGCTGCTTAATGAATACCCACAGTCCTGGGAAAGTAATTAAGCTTCCCTATAAAAGTCACGGGCATAAATTCTCCCTTGGCTTTTCTTCAAGGAGCCGCTTTGGCTTTCACCATCAGATGATTCTSTGTGAGTCTTTTCAGTGCCTCATGGTCAATCCTTTTCTTTTTATCAGGATGTGTAGCACATTTCCCACGTCCTCACTGGCAAGTTTTCCAGCAGGTTTTTTCCTGTTACTCAGGAATACTAGAGGCTGTGTTTTTGAAAAAGGCAGGAATGTTAAATTCATGTTGTCACTTGTCCCTGTTATCGTGACTCTTGACAACTGAATAATTATTTATTTAACAATAATAAGACAACTGAATAATTCTGAATGTGAARCAGGAGAGGGGCTGCCTGTGAGGTGCTGTTCTCCCTAAAGCCTTCCCCGTGTCCCCAGGTGAGGGTGCAGGCAGCCAGGAGGACCAGCTGTGCACAGCCCTGGTGAACCAGCTCAACAAGTTTGCTGACAAGGAGACCCTCATCCAGTTCCTGCGCTGCTTCCTGCTGGAATCCAACTCCTCCTCGGTGAGGTGGCAGGCCCACTGCCTGGCCCTGCACATCTACAGGTGAGCTGGGCAGCCTGCCCTGCCCTGGGGCTGGGGCAGTGCCAGAGCCCCTCTCCTAAAGGACTCTGGAACCTGCAGGTGTTGCCCCTCCTGGAATTGCTCACACCAGTTTGCCGTTCTGGGGCTGGAGGTGGAAGTTGTGAGTGAGCCTTGAGSAATCTGAGCTGTCATCTGCAAGGAGCAGTTTATTTCTGTCTGCAAAATCTGACCAGGAGCAGGTGTTTGTGGGCAAAGTGAATTTGTGAGGCAGATCGAGGCTCACATTGTCGAAAGTTGGGAGTTGTGTAGGGAAAGGAGCACTTCAGTTGATGCCTAAAATCCAGCTAACCTAAAATAGTGGCTGGACAGAATTCAGAGAATAAAAAACATATTATAAATAATAAATATTATAATTATTGCAGGGTCTTCAGGTCCGTTCAGGGCAGTCCCAGCCCAGCCAGGGGCTGCACCCACAATGGACAATGGCTCACGGGTTTTTCACCCTTTCTCACTTTTGTCCATTTGCACAKCRGGGYTGAATCCTCCAATTGCAGCTGCAGCCAATGCAGTCATTCACTCCAASTTGGCTCCCCMAATTCTCTSTTGTTTCCATCTCTTGGGGCCTGGCCCAGGGAGGWGTCCTTGAGTTTGGGGCTGSAGAGGAATTGTTTTGTGTAAAAATGGGAGAGCAGGAGCTCAGCACTGTCTGTGGAGTGTGGAGTTAAMCACTGRAGAATCCCAGGGGTACAGAGACAGGGAAATGGAGAAGGTGAAATCCTGAGGCATCACAGGGGCCTGGACTCCTTCAGAGCTCTGTTCAGTTGTTGCAGGACAGCTGTTCCAGTTTGGGAGTGCTGGAGAACAGCTGAGCTCAGGGAATGGTGGGGTTTAGCTCTGTGAGCTCTGCAAGGTTTCCCAGTTTGGTGAACTGGAGTTTGAGTTCTCCTGCACGAGATMTGTGCCTTCTGCAGGAGCCTGACTGTCTGTGATCTGCTCAACAGGAACTCCAACAAGTCTCAGCAGGAGTTGCTGCTGGATCTCATGTGGTCCATCTGGCCAGAGCTCCCAGCYTATGGAAGAAAGGCTGCCCAGTTTGTGGATCTCCTGGGGTACTTCTCCTTGAAAACACAGCAGACTGAGAAAAAGGTACAGTGTCRTTACAGAAAGGAGGTGCAGCATCCCAGCTGCTTATTTGTGGGATGGCTGGGACAGGTTTTCTTTCAGAAAAACTTCTGGTTGAAATTTTTTCAGTTCCTAAAATGTCAATGTTAAAGAAAGTAAGGCCCTTAAAAAATTGGGAAGTGTGGATTTTTTGTTTTATTGTTTTGAGGTTGAAATTGTGCTGATGAGTTTTTTATTTATTGAGAAAAATACCTCTTTCCCACAGGAGGCCTTTGTGGTTCTGGCAGCTCAAATTTATAGGTTTTTGATACTGGAAGTCCTAGAAATCTCTTGTATCTGTGACTTTTGAGCAAAGGAAGTGGTGGCCTCTTTTAGGGGATCAGTGGGATTGAGAACAAATAATTGAGACCCATTGATGCTTGCCTGAGTGTGTTTAAAGAGTGGGCAATGCCATCCAAACCTGGGTGGTGACTGACTGACAAACAGTGCCAATTGTGTAAATCCCTAACTTTAGGATCGATTACATTCCTGGGTAACAATTTAAACATGTAAATTCCTGGAGGTGTATTGTGTGCCTCTTCTGGGAGCCTGGAACACAGGTGATGAGGGATATTTGTGCCTTTGGAGCAATAAAAAGGTTGTTGAGGAGACTTTCCTTGGATGTGTTTCAGCTGAAGGAATATTCCCAAAAGGCCGTGGAGATCCTGCGGACTCAGAACCACATCCTCACCAACCACCCCAACTCCAACATCTACAAGTGAGTCACTCCTGCCTTCCATCCATCYATCCATCCACGGCCCTGAGGGGAGAGCTGAGCTCCATCTGTGGGGAACACAGCTCTGCTGATGGGGTGGACATGGGGCTGGACCCTGCTGAGGTTTGGGAGAAGGGCAGGATCCTTCCTGCCAGAAGGATAACCTGACAGAAATTCTGTGTCCTACCAGCAGAGCTTGGCTTCAGCTCTTCTGCTCTCACTGGCAGTAAATGTTAGAAAATCTCAGGCCCAGCTGGAGAACAGAGATTTGCAGATTTATTTAACTGTTGTGTTCTTGGCCCCATTTTGGCGGGTGATAATTACACTCAAAATGCTGCTTTGTTAAACCCAGTCATTTCCAGTGTGATTTACATTGCAACTCTTGTGTTACACATTGGRATTGGGGCTGAGGGAAATCCAAGCGATCCTGATGGAATGGAGGGTGTTTAAAACACAGCAAATGCCCAGTTCCACAGTCAATGTTGTTCCCTTGTTCCAGCACGCTGTCTGGGCTTGTGGAATTCGATGGCTACTACCTGGAGAGTGATCCTTGCCTTGTCTGCAACAACCCCGAGGTGCCCTTCTGTGTAAGTAACCCTGGAACCACAGAATTGTGGAATAGCCTGAGCTGGAAAGAGCCCACGAGGATTCAATCCAACCCCTGGCCCTGCACAGGCCCCCAACAATCCCCCCCTGTGCATCCCTGGCAGCTCTGTCCAAATGCTCCTGGAGCTCTGGCAGCCTCAGGGCTGTGCCCATTCCCTGGGGAGCCTGGGCAGTGCCAGCACCCTCTGGGGACAGAAGAACCTTTCCCTGAAATCCATCCTAAACCTGCCCTGGCACGGCTCCATCTGCTCTGCATGGCACCAGCAGTGACTGCTGCTGTTCGATTCTTTCCAGTGGTGGGGATCCCAGTCCTTTCCAGGTCTGGTTTCCCATGTCCTTGAGATTTTGGGATGCTCTCAGGCTGACACTGTGTCCTTGCTCTGTGTCCCCAGTATCTCAGGGATCCCAGCCCTTGCCAAGTGTGGTTTCCTGTGTTCCTGAGATTTTGGGATGCTCTCAAACTCACAGCTTGCCCTTGTTCTGTGTCCCCAGTACATGAGGGATCCCAGCCCTTCTCACCTGTGGTTTCCCATGTCCCCAAGGTTTTTGGGATGCT